TGGTTCCAGAACTGCTCAGGGCACTGGTCTACAGGTCAATGGGCAGGAAGGGCAAGTCTCTGAGACGCACACTCAGCCTGTACCTTCTACTTGCACCCAGGAGAGACCTCTGCCCTGTTCCCTGCACTTTTGCAACAGGAGCTGGCCCCTGGGCCCATGACCTGGGAGGAGCTGACATCCAGGTCAGTCCAGAAAACCCAAGGCTGTTCAATCACTTCCCGGAACGATCTGCCATAAATCTTCCACTGTCCATCCTCAGAACCAACAGGCATTCTCACTCGCGCCCTGAGACCAACTGTCACTGTCCCATGGGAGTTCTCCCTGACAGTTACTCATGGGGTGTCTCCCATGTACAGGGTCACTATGGTTCATTGGGGAGCAGGCAGTTCAAAGTGACCCCAAATGACCTTCACAGTTCAAGTGGAAGAACTAAAGAGGTGCCCGGTGAGAGCTCGCTGTGGCCACACGTGTGCTGAAGAGAGCAGTGTGGGAATGTGGCTGCTGTCTCTCAGGAAGGAAAGGGCAGAGGACCAGAGTCGGCCCCACATGGAAGGTTCTCTCCTGTCATGTGACCAGGGCGGGAGGGAGGGCGGGGCTGTGCGGCCGGGCTGGTGGCAGGTTTGTGTCTCACTTCCCCGTCTGCCTGTGTCACTGTGAGCAATGTCGTTACTGCTGTCCCACACATGACAGTAATAGTCGGTCTCGTCCTCGGCCTGGGCCCCGCTGATGGTCAGGGCGGCCGTGTTCCCTGAGTTGGAGCCTGAGAATCGGTCAGGGATCCCTGAGGGCCGCTTGTTATCATCATAGATGACCAGCCTGGGGGACGTGCCTGGCGTCTGCTGGTACCAGTGCACGCTTTTCCTTCCAATGTTGTCTCCTCCACAGGTGATCCGGGCTGTCTGTCCCCGGGCTCTGCTGGTACCAGTGTAGAGTTTTCCAACTAATGTTGTCTCCCACACAGGGGATCCTGGCCGTCTGTCCCAAGGTCACTGACATTGAGGACTGCTGAGTCACATCATAGGAGGCCACGGAGCCTGTAAATTGAGAAAAATGAAGTGTATTTTAACATGAAGCCCATTCTCTCGAGACCCTCCTGCCTAGCCTGGACTAGCTCAAAGGATTCTCTGGGCCCACAGGGCAGCCCTTCCCACAGTCTCAGCCCAGGAGTCCCATGGACTTCGCTGTTGGCTTTAGAAAATAGGAGACCCTGACCCTTTCTCCTGACAGCTACGGCTTCTCAGGCTCAGGCCATTCGGTGAGCTCAGGGTGGTGGCATCTCAGCCCCTACAACCCCACCCCACCCTGGTGCAGGTCCAGGAGCCCCCTCCCGCACAGGCAGGGCCCTCTGAGCTCAGAGTCAGGCCAGGCTGGTGCCAGAGCCCTGGGGCTGGGCGATAGCTGAGCCTGGGCAGCACCTGTGCAGTGAGCGAGGAGGCCCAGGAGGAGAGGGGGCCAGGCCATGGTGTCCCCTGAGGC